CAGAAAGAATGACGTTGCCCCATTTGTTAGGAAATGGAAAGACTTGGGAAAAATTATATTAAGCGAAGTAAGCCAGGCCCAAAGAAACATAGGCCCCATGGTTTCCCTTATTTGCAATATCTAGTATATGTATGAGTCAAGGGGAAAAGGTCAGATAATGTGATGTTAGGAAAATGAACCCTTAGATTTGTATTATAATGTTTTTTTCTTTCATGCATGTGTTTCTAACGCATTTATAAGATTATCTCTTTGTTGCTTTGTATGTCCCTCCCCCACAGTGTAACCCCTGCATTCACTGTATTTGATGTCAGTATAACTTGTGGAGGACATGGGGAAAAACAAGTCATTTAAGGATACAGGTGGACCTGTTGCAACAATGAGAAGTACAAGTTGTCATGTCCATAACGAGTTTTACATTGTCAGTAGGGGGGGTGAGGGGGAGAAGGATTGGGACTAGGGGGGAGGGGGGAGGCTGGGGAGGGATGTGAAGGGTAAACAAAGGAGGAAGCTGCAATGCTTGGTAAGAAATGTACGCATTATCCTGCCCATGTAATTGTAACCCCTCTGTACAGGATGTTCACAAATAAAATAAAATAAATTAATTAAAAAAAATTTCAAAAAAAAAAGAACTGAACTGGGCATAAAATATGGAAATAATTACAAGACACGGTGGTCAGAACTATGAGAGGGAAGGTGACAGTCCGTAAACCTTGGATACTCCCACAAATACTGAAAACTCGACACATGAGGTCAAACAGTATATACTGCAGGAAACATGTAATGGAGACTTCTATGGATGGTATTCTGAATATGCGAGGTCTGTGAGCTGACTGTGTGGTGAGCTAATATTTTCGAAGGAAATGGTTTGGTCAGTTGTCCCTTGGGCCAAACATACCTGATTGTTTAAGTCAAATGGAGTCACAATATTTTGTCTTGAGTTATGAAAATGAAAACAGGAGCAGGTTCAGAAAGCCATTTTGTGGACAACAATTTGCAGTGACTGACCAGTACTGCCATTTGGTCCAGTGTGAGGAGAAGAAGGAAGTGTTAGCACACTGATAGAAATCTCTCAGGGATCTGCTAGATTTCCCCTTTCTTCAACTTCCTATTTCCAGAGTTCTGCAAGGTCATTCCTGGAATCCAATCCCAGTTTGTGCCTAGGGCAACTTTTCTCACATTCAGTCTATCACATGACATACTTGACCAAGAGAGAATGAAAACAGTGTGCCTGGAACACACCTGTTGCTGGAAAGACCTGGCTCTTTGATCTCAAAACTAGAAACTGATGGGTTTTGTTGGTCCCCAGACTAGGGTGGAGCTTAGGGATTAGGGCACAGAAAAATTGGAAGGAGTAGGCGTGGCAAGAGAGGCTGAGCTACCTACAAAAGAAGCTGCAGGAGAGGACAAACCTCACCCTTTGGCAGCTACTTCTGAGCAGGAAGCCAGCATTTGGTCCTGATTTCAAGAGGGAGATTGCAACCGATTGCTCCTGGAGTAATGGAGACCACGGAACAGAATTGCCAAGGTTCCTCCTGGCCACCTGGGAAACATGCCCAGCTTCAGAAGCATGCGCCTCCTTTCCAGACAGCACTGGCTCCCAGACAGCACATGGGTCTGAGTTGGAAGAAACGTTCCCCGGTTGGTGCCGGCCTCCAGAACACAGGGAACACTTGCTACCTGAACGCCACCCTGCAGTGTCTGACCCACACAGGCCCACTTGCCAGTCATATGCTGCGCCAGATGCCTTGCCACCAGAAAACCTGCATGATGCGTGTGATGCAAGCTCAGGTGAGGAGGGCTTTCCAGCACTCTGGGGACATCATTCAGCCGTCGGATGCCTTGGGTGCCGGCTTCCACACGCACAAGCAGGAAGATGCCCATGAGTTTCTCCTGTTCCTCTTGGATGCTATGCAGAAATGCCAAGCATGTGGCCCTGAGGGCTTAGAGCTTCCAGCTCAGGAGCAAAGCCTGATCCGGGAAATCTTTGGAGGCTACTGGAGATCTCGAATCGAGTGTCTGCAGTGCCATAGCATTTCAGACACCTTGGACCCTTTTCTGGACATCACGCTGGAGGTCGAAGGAGCTCACAGTGTTGCCCAAGCGTTGGGAAGACTGGTACAGCCGGAAGAGCTGAGTGGGGAAGACGCCTATCATTGTGCGGCTTGTCTGCACAAAGTGTCCGCTTCCAAGACCTTGACTCTGCAAAGTGCCTCAAAGGTCCTCATCCTCGTCCTGAAAAGATTTTCTTCCTGGACAGGGGACAAGGTGGACAAGGAAGTGCACTTTCCTGAGAGTCTTGATATGCAACCCTACATGTCTCAGCACACTGAGGGACCGCTGCTGTATGACCTCTATGCTGTGCTGGTTCATGCTGGGTCCAGCAGTCACACCGGACATTATTTCTCTTACATCAAAGCTGGCAATGGCCAGTGGTATAAAATGGATGACACTAAGGTGACCACCTGTGATGCTTCCTCTGCATTGAGTCAGCGTGCTTACATCCTCTTTTATAGCCAGAAGAGCACTGATGGTGAGAGACACCCTGAGGATGTGTTCATCGGCAGGGACTCGGTAGCTAACCAGGCAGAAGAAAAGGAGGGAAGAACACCCCAACCAGACAGGAACAAGCACTCTCCTCTGACACTTGTGGAGCCACAGCCAGATGTGCAAAGTACAGTTCTGAAAGAAATCTCCCTAGACCAATGGAAATTCTTCCAGGACCAAAACCGCCCAAAGTCTCAGTTCCACCTCAGGAAAGTAGAGTTCACACAAGATGCCAATCTGGTCGTGATTCACCCCTCCAAACACACGGATGAGATGAGAAGAGAAAATCATGCTGGTAAGGAAAATTCCTCACCCAAAACCTGTTGCCAGAACACAACAGGTCAGATCTCCAGAAATCAGAGCCAACAGCCTTGTGAGCACACCAGGGCCCGATCTCACAAGAGAAGGAACAAGCAAGGAAAGAAGCCTGTGTTGGTGTACTCATTACCTCCTTGAGTTGTCACATTGGGTGCTGGTTCTGCCTCTTGATCTGTGGAGTCTGGCACTCCCCGGAGATTTTTACCTCAACACTAGTGGTGTATGAATTGAACCCCAGATCCACATCTGGAATTTTCTGTGTCATTGGAGATGAGAAGCCAACGAACATGCATATCCTTGCTGGCTTCAAAAGGCCTTCCTCGGATCTCATCCTCCTGTGTAGCTTGGGTTCCAGGCCTGAGACACAGGGCCCTGCCAGGATCTCAGATTACCAAGTTGGTTTGTGCCCTATTGCAGAGTACAAAACCTGAAAAGTTGGGGACAAGAAATTCCTGTGAATCGCATTAAATGAATTACATGTCTTGTGTTCTATATCTCTGAACTTGTGAAAACCAGAGATGAAATGTAAAAGTGCAGGATGAATGTGATAAAAAATGGTAATTGTGTAGAAACAACCATGTGCAAATGGGCAAATTGCATTGTAACTGCTCTGAATCTCTGGAGAGCTTCACATGGGAGGGTAGGAGAGAACTCTATGTGCTCAGTAGTACCGGTGAAAATCTACTGTGACAGTGTTTCAGAAGCTTTGAAAGTGAAAGGAATCCATCCCTGCAACCCAGAAAATGCTCCTGATGCAGCACAAAACCCTGCTGAACTCTCGTCTCTGAACTGGACTGTGGTTTGCATGTTTGGGCCACTGCTGGTGGATCCATGGACATTAACTTTGTGATCTCACTGAAAGCAGTTCTCTCCCCTTAGTGGGAAGAACGCTGTGTCATTGCTGGATTGATAGTGCGGGATAATATACAAAGTAGACATCATGGATTGAACTAACTAACTAAATAAATAAATAAATAAATGAAATGAAATGCCAAGTTCTAACTACCTCGTATGTGTAGATATTGGGATGTGAACTCAGAATGTGGACCTTGTTCCTTTGTTCTTTTGCTCTAGACTAGCATGCTGCCTCTTGAGGCAGAGCTCCAATGTCCAATTTTTAGTAGTTCATTGAAGATCAATATCACTTAGACTTCCTGCTTGGCCTGGCTTTGACCAGAGATCCTCAGAGGTCAGCCTCCTGAGCAGTTAGAATTCCAGGGAGGAGCCACCAGTTCCCAGCTGTGGTGGGTCTTTTTCAAGGTACATTTGAGGTCTCTGCCTCCCGAGAAGATTAGGATCATATCGGTCCACCAGTTTTGTTTTGTTTTTTCCCAATATCTGAGCCAGCCTAATGCCCACAACCTGAGTAAACAAACAGTGTTTTCCTGACTTTAATTCTGTATGTGGTCGAGTATTTGTGTTGCCTTCCAGTTGTTCTAGAAAGGGGTTTCAACATGTCAATGTATGTGTGTACTGCATCTCAAATAAAAGTCTACAATACATTCTGTGGTTGTGTGGAAGATTAAGTGTGACCCCTTCTTGTACACATTCCCTTTTCACTCTACTTCTCATGGTGAGTTTGTGTGACAGGTATTTTTATATACAAAGCAGATGACAGATATATTCCGAAGGCTTAATTTAGGCGCAATATCCTAGAGGGACTGGCTGATCTCAAGATAAATTACATTTCTCCCTTCTTCCATGTTCTTTACTGACGTAGGCCTCAAAAGGAGAAGCTAAGTCATTCTTCTACCTCTCTCATTGAGTGTGTTGGGAGGGAGGGTGGGGTTGACAGGCTTGCACACGGCACATAGACCTTGAACTCAGGACTGTCCTTTTGCAAAGGCTAGTCCTCTACCATTTCTTACTTTTTTTTTCTTTCTCTCTTCTCTTTTCTTTTTTCTTACTTTGCTTCTTTCTTTAGGTCTCTCTGTCTTTCTTTCTGTGTTTTTCCTTGCTTTCCCCCTCTCTAATCCTCTTTCCCTTCCCCTACCTTTCCCTCCCCTCCCTTCCCTTCTCTTCCAATGCCTTCCCCTCCCTTCACTTCATTTCCCCTCTCCTTCCCTCCCTGTCTCTCCCCTCCCTTCCTCTCCTCTGATTAGCATTTCCCTTTTTCCCTCCTCTCCCTTTCTATTTGCACACAATGACTCCCAAGTCTGTGTGTGAGAACAATTACAATGTGAAAGACACACGACTGGATCCTATAATATTCAGAGCATTCATTTCTCTAACCTGGTCAGAGATTACTGATGAGGTGTGAAAAGATAGGCAACTCTGAAAGGACTCCCAGATATTTGCATAATACAACTGGAAATCATAGCACTTGGTGAAGCAGTGATGAAGGACATCCACAGATCCTGTGGGGATCTTTTGAGTTTGTTGACATCAGGAGGAAACTAAAGGGAGAGGTCAGTAGACAGCATGCTATGATGGACTCCAAGAAAGAACTGAACTGCTCTGGGACACAGCAAAAGCAGTACTCAGAGGCAAGTTTATAGCTCTGAG